TTTCCTAGTGTATACAGAACCTCAGAAGAGATGGCCTGGTTATAAAAAGCTCATGAGCTGAAAGAAAAGAATGAGCCAGCAAGATGGCTCAGAAGGTAAAGGCACTTGCTGCCAAGACTGATGACTGACCTCAGTTCAGTCTCAGGGACCCACATGGTAGAAGGAGAGAGCAGATTCCTTTATGTTGTCCTCTGACAGCCACATGTGTGTCTTGGCATTTCTACATGCACTCAAACATGTGAGGTACATCCTAACACATGTGTTGAGAACCCAGAGAGTAGACAGTCCCTCTTAATGTTAGTTACTGCACTCCATAAAACCCAAAGTTCACACACTCTGGTCACATATAAAGCAACAGTGTGTGCATGCAACCTATGTGTATCTTCTCCTACATGCTACCACATCCAATCTAGGCAGCTGCTACATTTGTTGTTCAGGAACAACTCTATGTAAAAGTCTGCATGTGTTCTCTCTAGAGGGATTTCCCAAATATTTATTTCTTTATCAACAAAACATTCCAAATTATTTCTTCTAGCTTTCCAAGATACATAGTACTGCTCCTATTACCACATTTAACTTTTTAAAAAATTATATGCCTATGAGCATCCTGTGTGTGCCTGGTGCTCCCAGAGGTCAGAAGAGGGTGTCAGATCCCTGGAACTAGAGTTACAGAACTGAGAGCCACCATGTGGATGCTGGGAACCAAACTCAGGCCTCTGCAGGAGCAGCAAGTGCTCGTCCCTCTAGCCCCCATTATGCCTTCCTTTTTTTTTTTTGAGACAAGGTCTCATTGCATAGCTGAGGCTGGATTAGAACCTGTGGTTCTCTGGGCACTGGGATCACAAGAGAGTACCACCACACCCAACCTTCTGGTCACACTTCTGAAAAGAGTCTTAATTTGTTTGGCTTAATCCTGGATAAAGAGGGTCGGATGTGACTGAGTTTTCAAGAGAGAATGGTAGGATATGCTTTAAAGCAGGTACATTAAGCCTATGCTCCTGTTGTGGTCAGGGAGGTAAACAAGTCAGGGTTCTGACCATAGACACGACTATGACGAGATCGAGATGCTTTTCACATTCCTAAAAGAGGCAGCCACTGCTGAGCCCTACAAACTGCTGCCTTTTAGGACCTCGGGCCCAGTGTGATCAGTTTGAGTATTTCACAACTAGAGCAAATACGGCTTCTTTTTAACTGTCTGATAAAGACTTTAATTTGGGGAACAATGTCTGATCAGACATAGTTTTTGTTTGTTGTCTGTGTCTTTGTTTTTATGGGGTGGGTAGGGAGGTTGTTTTGGTTTGGTTTTGGCCCAAGCTGCCCTCAAACTCATGAACTTCCTATTTCAAACTCCACTGTAGCTGGGGCTGCAGGTGTGAAATGCCAAGCCACACTTGAGAAGTGGTTTTGTTAAAAGAAGAAAAAGAGAGAAAAAAAAGGAAGGAAGGAAGGAAGGAAGGAAGGAATTTTTTCAGGTAAACCTGAATCGACTGATAGGCCAATTCTAGCCTGTAACTAAGAATTGAACTTTTGGCTTTAAAGTATTGATCTACAAAGTAAGGACATAAAAGACATCCAGACGTATGGGGTAGCGTGTCCTTTAGCCAACCTCAATACTCCAAACATAGCGGTAACGTGTTCTTTAGCCAACCTCAGTTTCTACCCTGTGCAAAGGAACGCAGAAAACCACAAGCCTGTGTCACTCACAGCAGGCCTGTAACTACATTTTACGTTTATCTGGAACAAGTAGAACAGCCTAACCCAACATATTCTACAGTGGAAGTAAAATCTTAATCCTCAAATCCAGGAACAGACAGGTAGGAACTAAAGGCAATTTATAAAGTGTGTCTTTTTCAAACTAGAAATATCATCAAGTGTAAGATTCATCTATAATTGTGAAGAATTACCCAATTATTTAAATAATGTTATTATCTAAAAGATGAGCTTACTAAATTCTATAAACTATAACTAGAAAATTATTTCAAAATTTTTTAAGAAGCTCATTTGTACAATATAGTCATAAAACTATTTTGAAAACATAATTTATACATACCTTTTTTGATTTGGGACCCTAAAAAGTTGGAAAACAAAAGCATTGACATATTTTAAAAAGAATTCAGATACTTTCAACAAAGCACAGCATAGGACATTATTTAGGAGAAACTGGTGAAGGGCCTAAGGGAATGTTCTTTGTACCTTCTTTGGAACTTTTGGGTGACTCTTTAGGTACGTTAAACTGAAAAGATGCTGTAAAAAGAAGCCAGCACAAACTAAAATCGCATGCAGGAAAACCCACAAGATTTCCCCAAAGCATATTTCCGAGGTAGTGAACACTACTCACACCAAGTGAAGCATCTAGACCTGAAATGATGCTCCAGATCCCCACAAACTGCTGACTAGTGGTACTATATCACATTTGCAGATGTGGGGCTGTCTCATAAAGGAACCTTTCTATTACATAAGATTGGTGGTTTTTATGGAGAAGCAATCAGTTTTTTAAAGTTTGCCAACCAACGATAAAATGAAGCCTGTCCGGCCACTTGTTTTGAAGTCAATTTGTTTTGGACAGCACAGTACTTCAATACTGATTTACAATTATAAGCATTGCTTGGTAATACTATTTGTAAATTTCCGAGAAGTCCTGTGTGTCCATCATCTTTTGGGTGAAGAATATGTAAAGGAACTGTGTGAGTATAAGTTACACATTTTGCAGCTCTGAAGAGCTATAGGAAATACTGGTTCAAGCCATAAGAGCATCATTATAATATATGAGAGCTAAAGTCAGCATACATTAAATGACATCTTCCTGAAAGGCACACACACTTCAGAGATTCACTCCTTAGATCGTTACTGGTGATCCACACGCAGGACATCCTAAAGTCTAGCTAGAGCTACAGGGAGAACCACGGCAGCTTTCCCCTCGTGTGATTTCTACAGATGGGTTTTTATCCCTACAACCATGGTCAACACACTTCCATCTTGAAACAAACATCTTAAAGATAACGTACACATTTTTGTCTCTCACTTGTTTTTCTAACACGAAGCAGGCTTGGGAAAAGTCCCACCCTTGTCCTTCCTGCCAACACAAGAGCCACTAAGGAGTAAAACTGCTCTCCAAACTTCAGCAGTGAAGGATGTCACTGCTCTTTGAGAAATCCGTATGCCTGGACTTAGCAGTGTGTGCAGTCACGTTCCTTCCTGTATTATAATTCCTTAGATTGAGGGGTGGAATTATGTCTTTTCAGATTCACATACTAAAATCTTAACTTCTTGCATGTCACATCTGACCTGCTGAGATAAAGGGTCAGCGATGATTTCACCAAATTAAGATGACCTCCTATTGAAATTGGGTGGACCTCTGGATTAATATGACTGGTATCCATGTAGAAAGAGAAATCTTGAATATAGACTCTCACAAAGAAAATAAACATCTCGTGAAAAAAAGTGAGGTTACACTCCTACACCCCAAGGTACTATTAGATGTAGAGACAATCCCCCCAAGGCTGCCTCTCTAGCCTTAGATGTTCGTTCTCCAGAATGGTGAGGCAGGCAGTTTCTGTTTAAGCCACCTTGTTTACGGCACTTCATTCCCTGGAAACCCTATGAGACAGGAGATTTGAAGTCATGGCTTCCTGGATTCTATATTTTAAGCAAATCCCCCACTGACTTGGACATAAAAGCTGCAGGGTCAGTCTTTGAGAAACTGCTAGGCAGACTGAGGAAAAAGAAAGTCAAACTCATGTTTCGGTGGCACAAACAAGTGATTGTTCTAGTAAACTTTCAGCAGTTTTGACTTGGCTGAAGCCCCGCTGGGGTTTTGCCAGGGGAGTTCTCCACTACCCATTTCTTTCTACCACTTACAGAAAATTCACATTTATATTTTAAACGAGGTTGAAAAGTACCACTCTTTCCTTCTTTCCCTGCCCTTGACAACTTATTTACTGCTTCAGATACACTGGCTGTTACCATGGTAAAGCCATGGGGGGGGGGGATGGCATACTCTGTTCTGACTTCCTGCAGGAATCATAAAGAATGTACTCTGGCCTGGTGGTGGTGGCTCACGCCTTTAATCCCAGCACCCAGGAAGCAGTGACTAGCGGATCTCTGTGAGTTCGAGGCCAGCCTGATTACAAGAGCTAGTTCCAGACAGGTTCCAAAGCTACAGAAAAACCCTGTCTCGAAAAACCAAATAATAATAATAATAATAATAATAATAATAATAAAATGAACTCTGAATTTCCATTACAAAATCAGTAATTGCATTATCCGTGTCAGTTATGATGCTGAATGTGAAAACACACGATCTCTTGATGGAGAATGGGAAACAATACACGTCGTTAGTTCCATGTTGGTCTGTCTCCTTGGTGAAGACGTGAAAGTTGGAATACAAGAAAAACAAAATGCCTAGCTTTATTATATTGAATGAGTGCAGGCTGACTACCTAGAAGCAAAACCATTTAGGTTCCTAGGAAAGACCCACGAAGTAACGTCAAAGCCGACTAAGCCATCGCCGCTGGTCTGAAAACATCTCTGACAGGTTGCAGAGTAAGTTAGGAACGCGCATCACCGGAAGTTACTCGGTAAGGACCAAGTTTCGAGTTTAGCTACAGGATACGTGCGGATCCCGCCACCTTCGGTTTGCACGAGCTGGTTTGGGACTGCGCTCGTCCGCCGGCTCCCCTCCCGTCAGTCCGCGCTCGCCCCTCGTCTCCCTCCTTTCCCCCGCTCACCATGAGAGAAGAAGGACCCTGTCGTGGGGGAGGGAAAAGTCTGAACATATCAGCGTCAGAACGCTCACGGTTGTCAGGGCGACAGGCCACGCCCACGCACCAATCCCAGCGCTCTGCGGAGGTCCGCCTGCGCAGTCGCCCTGCGGCCTTCCGGCGGGAGTCCTGTCCTTGTCGTAGACTGGTCCCCCGAGCCCCAGCCCACTTCCGGCACAATCCCCGCTCCCACCACGGCTAGTTACCTGAGGCCGCCCACTCCGGTCTGGTGACCTCGCCCACTTCCGGCATGCGACCCGCCCCTCCGAATGCGGATTGACGCTGTCAGAGCGTTTACGGCCGTGCTGCCGCAAAGCGCTGGAGCGCGGCGGTCCGAGCGCCTTGTTTTCCGGATCTCTGGGCTGCAGGTGGTGAAGTATGCTTTAGGAGCGGGCTGCTGTGGTGGGAGGGGAGCTGTGTATTCTCACGCTGCATCCCAGGCTGACCTGGAACTCGCGGGCATCCTTCTGCCTCCTCCTCTTCCTGAGAGCTGGGATTACAGCCGTGGGCCGCCACGCCTGGCTCTTTAAAGGGGTGTCTCCCTCGCTTCTGTGCTCCGCTGCAAGCCATTTCCCGGGGATCTAAGGATCGCGCCAGCCGGCGACTAGGTGAAGCCATCGGCTCTGGGCAGGTCGCCAGGAGGTCGCTTGGCCGCGTAGGCGAGGCAGATGGGCTCCTAGAGGGCCCTTACCTAGAGATTAAAGTAGTGAAGATTCTTCACTGACCTCGATGGTTTAGTTTCTGTGCAAAACATTCGCCCCTTTCCCCTAGAGCTGTCCACACAAGGTGTTGAAAGTGACTTGAATTAATTCCTGGGCAAACTATTCCAGTAGAGATAGCTAAGATCCAGCGAGCCCTTATTATCCCAAGGTCACCGACTCAGTTGCGCTGTTGTAGCAGTCTTCAGAATCGGGGCACCTCTCCGTATAAAGAAAAGGCACTTTACACCAACTGGAAAGTAGCAGGAACCGAGTCAATTATTTGTCCTAACTCCAGTTTAAGACCTGTCCAACCTATTAAACACAAGACGAAGTAAAATTATATCCCGTATCTAAATTCCAATTTAATGTTCTATCACGTTCTTACACGCTGACTAAATGTTCTATTCGTAAGTATTACTGGCAGCTAGTTTTTGTGGGTTAAAGTTATTGGTTGCGTAACAGTTATGATCTTACTGTCCTCTGAGCCTTGGTAATGAGATAAAAACTCACCATCCACTGCATACAAATTAAAATTTGGCTCTCTATAAGCCGTTGTTTGAAAGTTAGCGTTTGTTTTTAATTACTCAACAAAGCTACTACTATTGTTTTGTAGTGTTACCAGATTATATAAAGATCAATATAAGAACCACACACATGCATATAGCTCTTGGATCTACAAGTGTACAATTTACTCAGGATTTAAGAGGCCCCGACAGTCCCTATTGTAGTGAGCTTCCAGTATAGCATGTCTCAACCTGTGGGTCGCAACCTTTGGAGTCAAACGACCCTTTCACAGGGATCATCTAAAACCATCTGCATAGCAGATACTTACATTATGATTCATAACTGTAACAAAATTAGTTATGAAGTAGCAACAAAAGTAATTTTATGGTTGGGGGTCACCACAACCTGAGGAACTATTAAAGGGTCGTGGCATTTGGAAGGTTTGAGAACTACTGTTCTAGTCCTTATTGCCTCTTAAAATATCCCATCCATATGGTGGTTTATAAATTCATTTGCTTCTACATGAAGTAGATTCCTGGGAAGTAATTTTACAGTGGAGAATCCTGGCAAGCACTTTAATCAGCCATAACAACACACTAGAATTGTGCCTAGCTGACAAACATGCAATGTAAGAGGTTAGAAATGGGAATATATTTAGGCTTGATCCTTTCCCAGTGAGGCCTTTCCCAAGATCCTCTCCTTGGCAGCTTGGGCCACCAAACCATAAGAAACATGGTCAACACTGCAGATGCTGTCTGTTCCCTGTGGAATCCTTGCAAAATGCTTCATTTGCCCTCTATCCATTATTATGCATTCTTCTGTGCCAACCTCTTTGATCTCCCAACCCGGTTCTTTTAGTCTTTAACTTTCCTCCAAGAACACCTTTTAAGATTTGGACTCTTAGTGTCTCCCAAGTAATGAAGCTTAACCTTGAGAGTGGGGTAGACAGTTTTTCTTTTGGTATGCAAACAGGCTTAGAAAAGCTAAGAGAGCCTAGATTATAAAAGCTCTCAGAACAAACTACCATTTTGGGGAATAGATCTTAGTGAATAAAGCACTTACACAAGCAAGATCCCAGGGAGAGGCAGGAGGACCTGAACACGGTTTATGGAAAGGACTGACACCAGAGGCCATGGCGCAACATGCACACTGTGGCAAGTGCACACCTACACACAAAGATGAAAGACAAGCTTACCATTTCCCCAATAAGTAATGTTTGTGATAAAGTTTACATAGCAGTTATTTGAAAAGAAAAATCTTCCTTTTCTTTAGGTATGTATAAGAGTGGATTAATTCCATGTTAAATGAAAATGGCTAATTCTTTGCGAGGAGAAGTACTGGCTCTTTACAAAAATGTAAGTAATTATGCTGCCAACTTTACAAATGCTATCATGACATGGATTGCTTAGAAACACATCTTTCTTTTTAAAGCTGCTGTATCTTGGACGGGACTATCCAAAAGGAGCAGACTATTTTAAAAGGCGTTTGAAGAATGCTTTCCTTAAAAACAAGGATGTGAAGGACCCAGAGAAGATCAAAGAGCTTATTGCACGAGGAGAATTTGTAATGAAGGAGCTAGAGGCCTTATACTTCCTTAGAAAATACAGAGCTATGAAGCAACGTTACTATTCAGATACCAACAACTAACCAACCGTTGCTGCCAACACCTGGCTGACAGTCAGCGCCAGCATTTGTGTGTACCAACTATTATAAAATGATTCCATTTATACAATACATGTTTAAAAACCCAGAGGTGCCCTCATGTACTAAAATGTGTCAGCCTCATCAATACTTAGTTCTACTCATAATCCTTCATGCTCAAATTTTATTAACACGGCAGCACCTTTCTAAGTTTAGCACCTTTCATGAGAATACAATTTTTCAAGAAAATATACCTAATTTTCTAATGTTATAGCAAATTATTCTTAGTCAATTTCTGCATTTACTAATGAGACTATCATCAGCAAATAGTGTCTAACAAGTATATTACCCTTTAGCTTGTGAGCATTTGTGATTTCCCATCTAGTATACAGAAGTACATATTCAGGGCTGTCTACAAACCCCTACTCAAAATGATTTGAATGCAGTTATCAAAATAAGACATATCAAGGTGACTTTGAGCTTGAGGATGCTCAGCAGGTGACCGGCATTATGCAGACATTATTTCCATTATTTGTGCTGCTATCTCCCCTTGAGCCCCAAATCCCCTGTCCAGCTTGGACTAGCTTTCATGAGGAGTGGTAAGGCTCCTGTTTTCACCATCAAAGCAAGTACACTTTTTTTTTTTATCTGTAACCTTGCTAGTGTGGAGTGAGCCTACCTGGACAGGACACATGTTTAAGCAAACACTTTAACGTTTATATAATAATCTTAGCAACTTTATAAATAAAGAACTTTCCAAATTAAAGTGGCAAAAAGTGTCTGCTTAAAGGAGTCCATATCAGCTACCTGGCAGATGTTCCAATTTCCCATCAAGAAACACCCACAGTCAGGCCTGAGGTGTAGCTCAGTATGGAGTGCTTGCCTAACAAACATTGAGACTGGACTTGAACCTCAGCCACAATAAGAAATAAGTGATTACACACTTTATAGTCACCATAACTATTTTTATTACATTACAATGATTAGGAGCAGTACAGTTCATGACAAAAATATTACAAATTTCAGATCACTTCACAGCACATACTCCTATAAACATTTAAAAGTTAATTTTAATTAAAAGAGTGGTCATTTTTAAATTTAATGTTTGATATGACCAACATTCCCTAGATCAGCACAACCAAAGGATGAAAAACAACTGGATCACACTGCATATGTCCCACACACACCAAAAAAAGAAAAAAAGAAAAAAAAGAGAAAAGAAAAGCACAATGTACAAAATGTGCATGTTTCAGTTTACACTATACAAAAATAGTTAAAATACATTCCAGGTAAACATGTTACATTAAGAAATAGCACTAGTAAGAAATTGGCACTCAAATAAAAATGCAGAAGTGTTTTCAACATGAAGAAGGAGACAGTGGAATTGGGGACCTGGAGAGAAATCAGGACACAGCCCATTTAGCTGGCAGGGGTTGGTGGGTCTGAAACTGGCATTTCTGCAGAGAACTGAATTTTCCCAAATTCATCTAAAATGCCTACCGCCATCCCAAACAGGCACACCACAAATCTGAATCTAATTAATAACTATTCTTTGAAAACTAATATACTTCTTTAGAAATAATTTTCATGTTTTGACATAATTTTACACCTACTGAGTATATCTGTTCAATTTTTCAGCACAGAATTCATGCTACCCAGTATTACACAGAAGTCATTAAGTATAAATTCACCTTTAAAGTAACTTTTGGGTCTTAAAAAAATGACTACATGATTATCAAGAAATTACTACTTTTAACAAATGGAGTTTAAATTTTTATTGCCTACAAAAATCCCTCCTAAATATATATTATTGTTCTGGGGGAAAAAAATGGAAGAATCAGTGAAATACAAAATGAGATGAATCTGCAAACTGTAACTTCTGACATGCCTCACATAACTTTTATGTATGTTAGACAAAATTGTGCAACAGTGAAAAGTCTTAATAATCTATAAAAATTAGGATCTAAATCCCTATACAGTGTGACTCAGCAGAGCCTAGAATTCTTGACTGAAAATATTCACTCCAATTGTATTTGTCTGCTATATCCTAGACATGCTAATGCCTATGACTGTAATTTAGCACTGGTTTTCAACTTCAACAGGCTGTAGTAACTAGATAGCATTTATGTTTGTTCCTCAGACTTTTTCCCTTTAAAAAAATCTCTACAAAACCTTCTTGTTAACAAAAGACTAAATATTCAAAATTTACACAATGGTAATCACCACTACTTAACACATTGCCCAGTCTCCAGTAAATATCTGATTATGCACCGCAGCTCCTGAAGTACACCTGCTTCTCAATATAGAAACAACAAGTGTCACTAATTGTGTTAAAACTTAATATCCAGGCAGTGGTGGCTCAGGCCTTTAATCCCAGCACTCGGGAGGCACAAGCAGGCAGATCTCTGTGAGTCTGAGGCCAGCCTGGTCTATAGAGTGAGTTCCAGGCCAGCCAGGGCTACACAGAGAAGCCCTATCTTGGACTCTCGTCCTCCACAAAAAACAAACAAAACAAAACAACCCCCCCCCACATATTTAAAAAAACTTAAAATATCCACCAAAAGAATGTTCTATGAACATGTAGAACATTTCAGAAATCCTACTAATTTTCTTTTCTTGCAAATAAATTCAGGTGCCTGCTTATTTGTACCCAAATAAAACTATTTTAGAAGTCAATATTTAATTTTCATAAGTTTTTTTAAAAAATATGTACTTAAGGAGAAAACTAGATTAGGGAATTTCTATTCCTTTAGAAGAAATAAAGTTGCACTGGAATCACAACCAGCAATTCTTGCTGAATCGAGAGGAAACTGCAAACACCTCTCTGCAAAACTGAAACCATGCATTCTATTATTTCTAGGCCCTGGGTCACACGTCTTACTAGAGTATTACAAACACACTACAAACCCCGGGCCAAGGATTGTGTCCCTTCTTTGGGGACATCACATCACATCCCCAGTGCCTTGTCTGGTGCCCAGCATTAAGACAAGTACTGAAAAAATGCTAAGGAAATAAATTCTGACTTTAAAAATGAGCTTTATGATTGAAACTTTAAAGTGTTTTCACTGTTAGGCTGTATTTATTAAACAATGTACTCTATCAACCAGGATGATACCTAGATGGAGATTAAGCTCTCCTTCCACAGACAGTGCTCTTTGTCCACACTAAATTTGAAAATTCCTACTTAGCCACCACTGGACTGGGCTGCAGGCATGAAGTCAAAAAGGATCAAGATTAAATTTCTGTAGTGCCCCCCTGAAAACCAGCTATCAGTTCAAATCCCAGTCTGGGTTCTGTTGGATTAATTTAAGCCCTTGGGAAGAAAGTCATAGGCAGCTTTGATGAACCTTCCTTAGTGGGCAACTTTCATGTAGTTGTTCATTGCAAAAATAAAATTTGAAGTGGGGGAAATTAAAGTATTAAAAGGAAACTACACTAAGTTGGAGGGGAATCCTGCAATTGGAGAATGGATACTGAAATATAAACTTTAACTATTGCACAATTTTGCCCAAAACTGGCAGTGAAGATGATAATCCATGTAAAAAAGTTACAGATTGTGCTGAGCGTGTCAACTTGGTGTATCAGTGTGTAAACGGACTATAAGTTACACAGCTGTGAAGAGTTTTTGAGATGACTGAACATTGAGTAAGACAGTGATATATATGCCTAAAATCAGACTTCTAAAAGACAGACATCCAGTCCTCATAGTCCAGTGAATTTTAATGTCACTTCAGAAATTTGAAGGAATGCTTTAAGTGCACTGAAGGGATTGTTTTTGCTGTTATCTATCCTTAGAGCACAGAGATTTCTAAGTACACATCAGCTTGGGAAGTATTAGGAATGTTTGCTCAGAGGTGAGAGACTAGTCAAACACGCATTCTCAAACCTTCATACTTCACTGTCCTAAAGATTTACTCTCCTTGTAGCCTCCTACCCCAACATCTCAACCTTGAAGCTAACAGAGAAATTCATTTAAATTTTTTTATTATAAATAAAAGAAATATTCCAGATTTGTCAGCAGAACTGCTACATGAGAATGCACTGACTGAGCTGTCCAAACTCTCCTTGTCCTCATCCTGACCAACACTGACTGTGGCAGCACTATGAAACCCAGTGATGCTCATCACAGGTTCACGTAAGGCCCAGTCTTGCAACTTTGATCTCAACACCTGTTAAGCTGCAACTGTCTCAAATCATCTTCAGTTTCTCTACCAAAATTAAAACTACTATCAAGGACATAAGTTCAAAACACTTAAAAGTTAGGCTAAGAAAGAGCACTCTGACATGGGGATTATACTAATTCTTATGAGAACTTAGACAATGTTAAAATTGTTGGAATTATTACAAAAATTTAATAGCTTGTAAATATAGCCCAAATGGTTACTATATCTTACTGGGTCTGTCTTACCAGGAAAAGCTATTAGGAATCTTACAGTAATTTAGCTAATATGGAATGGACTTTTATTCACTATTTTCCATTGCCTTTTTTTTCCCCATTTTCCCCCTTTTCTAGAAAAAATATACTATTTTGGGGCGTGACCATGACTAATAGCAGTAGAAAGCAAGAGAAAGCCTTTGTGAACAATCTAACTAACTACACTTACGAAGCATGATAGACTCTGGACATGCTAGAAGTGAATCAAAGGGAAGCCCATGAATCTGTGATCCCTCAGTCTTAGCAGAACCAGTCATATGGTCTCAGATGAAGCTGTAATTACTAAGTAATTCATTCTGTGACTAGATCAAACACAGAGCAGGGATGGCTCAAAAGCTTCATTACTCTGGTTCACACCAACGTTCACAGCTGGTAAAAGAATTAGCAAGGAATCAAGGGCATGCACCAGAACCCAAGACAGAGTCTCAGGTCTTTGTCTCTTCCACAGGCATTGCTAGTTTAAGTTCAAAACCCAGGGAATACTGGCACTTGGAATAAAGAGGTTTCCACTGTCATTTTAAAATAAGCATTTAAGATAAAAGCTGACAGTTTGCACAGACAGGGGAAAAAAAGAATTAGGTAATGCTAAAACAAATGCTAATAATTTAGTGTAATGTACAAAAATTACCACCTTTACTTAAGTATGCCTTAAGAAAACAGTACAAATTGTATTTACATAATTATACACTTTGTCTTTGACTTCTTTTTCTTCTTTTTACCATCTTTGCTCATCTTTTCTTTATGTCTTCGAATTTCTCGGACTAATGTGTAGAAGGCATCATCAACACCCTGAAATATATCAAAGAGAATCAAAATGTTAATGCAATTGATGGCCTGCAGTCCCCATGACAGACTTCATTGTCAATGGAAACTTTACTGACAAAGGCAAGTCCCGTTTATGCTGATGTTGTGGTAGCTGAATGGGCCAAAATATTAGCATTAAGTAATATTAGCATAATCTCATCATGGATACTGTGACATTTTTAAAAATTTAAATTATTACCTAAAAATTTTATGACATTTAAAACAACTTAATGCATGACTGTTTCGTCTGCACATCTGTCTGCATTATGTGAGTACAGTGCTCAACAGAGGCCAGAGAAGAGCATCAGATCCCCAGGAACAGGAGTTATTGACAGTTGTGAACTGCGTTGTGGGTGCTGGTGGCTGAGTCCTCTGGAGCCAGTGCTCTTAACCACTGAGCCACCTCTCCAGCCCTGGTCTTGTACAGAAATAGAAACCTGACTCTCACAGCACGCAGAGATAGTAAGTGGCACAGAATTGTACATAAGCATAACAAATGACTTTTTTTTTCCCCACAAAGGACTTATTTTTCTACTAATTTTTCCCTTCTAGCAAACTTAGTCACAATTCCCAATGCTTGCCTCCATGTATGGTAGGTGTGCCGTTGTATATACAACTTAATTGTCCCCAAGTTTCTGAACTTTGAACAGTAAGCCATGTGACTCTAGGAACTGCTGCCTTGAAAGCTGTTGTAACGCGCCTGACCTCTGGCGATGAGCAAAGTTGTCTGAGACCACACTGCAGAAGATTCTCTGACTGTTTTAGTTACTGTTCAGCCATTCAAAACTTGCCATATACAAACCCATCTTCAAAGAACATCCAATAGTAGTAATTAAAGCCTACATCTATTTGTTATTTTTTCAGTTGTGACTAAAACCGATTAAGTCAGAGTAATCTGACTTACTCCTAGTAAGTCAACCTCCTAGACCCTGGCATGAAGAATACATTCTAGAAGTAAGAAAACCGACTTCAAACCTTCAATATGCAAGTTCACACTGGAGTAAGCCCTTGCCTTATCTTTGTTAAAAGCAGAAGTGGTGCTGAAGAAATACATGGCCATGCTTTATTTTATCTGTTCATCCTAGTTGGAACTACAGAAAGAAATTTTAACCTAATAATGCTTCCAAACTTAGACAATAGAGGGTATCTGCAGAATAGTGCCCAACAAAGTTAAGCCACTTTTGTATACTTTCGACTTTTCATTTTGACAACTAATCCGTCATTCGGTACAGTAGAGCTAGAGTGGCGATGAAGCCTGCTCACATTTAACAAAGAGAAATAGGATAGTGCAGTATCATCTATTTGAATACAAGTGAGTAAATATATATTGCCCCAAATCCCCAATCTGCACTCACCGGTGCTTTTCACCTCTTGAAAACCATTCCTGATACAATACAAACAATACAGTCAAGGCTGAATTAAAGGATGAGATCCACTCAGACAGATACAGAAGACAGACTTCCTTCCATGCTGTCCTTAACACAGTGAGAAACCCTTCCAAGGACATAATAAAAGTACTTATAACTCACTGGTACTTTACAACTTAGGGTCATAGACCCTTGGAATTGGATGAAATCTTTTTGTCTGCGTGTGTGTGTGGGGGAAGGGGTACCTGTTTATTCAAGTGGAGGCCAGAGGAGGACACCAGGAGTCTTGTTCCATTACTCTCCACCATCTTCCCTTGAGGCAAAATATCTCAATGAGACTGGAGCTAGGCCAGTGACCAGTAAACTCCAATGATTACTTCTGGCCCCTGCTCCAGTGCTAGAATTACAGCTGGTACTTGGCCAGCTTTTTGTGAGTTCCAGGGAATTGAACTCGGGTGCTCACACTAGTGCAACAAGCATGCATATTCAGTGAGCCATCTCCCAGCCCTGAGATGGAATCTTATCTAACTCCCTTTTAACCTTCATGAGTTCCCTTTGATCACACATTATATTGGCTACTCTGTTTCAACTTCTTTTTTAAAAATTACGTTCATTTATTTTTGTGTTTGTGTGCATGCCATGGTACACATATGGAGGTCAGAGGACAACTTGCAAGTTCTTGCCTCCTACCAAGTGGATCTGAAGAATCAATCAGGTCCTCAGGCTTGATGGCCGTCTCATTAGCCCTCAAACTATTTTTATAATGAAGAAAAACCAATGATACTAAAACAATGATGCAGAAAAATAGAAATCCTGAGAGGGATAGTTGTATGAAGCTTTTTAAGGTGGAATAAAAAACAAGCATTTAAGAGACAAGGAAAACAGAATTTAATAGCATGTACCCTCTTCTCAGGTTCTGCACTTATTCTAACTAGATGACTTCAAGGTTAGAGAAATGTACACAGGGCAGTGGACTCCTTGTTCGTGTGGAAACTAATTCTCATAAAGTCACATGTCATATTCTGTTTACACTTACCCATTTTTTACAACTATGAACAACTAATTAGTATATATTTATCGCTATTAAATAAAAACTTTATATTTAAGTATGAATATCATAAAATATACCCTTTCTCTATTTAGAATGTGCTATATGCATTAAAATCACAACGATTCAATTCATAGGATCAAACTATTAGCATTCCCACCACTCACTGCTACAACTCTATCTTTTAGACAGAGCAGTGTGATTCTGCCTTCGTTTTGAATATAATGTTAAGTGTACCACATTCTCTAAATGTTGTTCCATTTAAAAATAATCTAAGAGTGAGGTGGAGAAAGAGGAATAAGGTTAAACTCGCCACTTAAATCTGGTCATGACTGTCATATTTCAAAGGTTAACTTTTCAAATTGCATTTTTAATGTTGAATTGTACCACAATTTCTAAAACTGAAGTATGGCTCTACACAATGATACAAATTCTAAGAGTTTATAATCCCCTTAGAAATCCATGCAAGTATTGCTTTGTTTCTGGGTTTACATCACTTAGTAGTCTTAAACACTAATTTTGTTTCATGTTCTCAAGGAACACATTTATGACAACAGCCTCTACAAATGTCAACTCACTGAGTGAAGAATTTGGTGAGCTACACAAAATATAGTCTGGGTTAGTTAGGGAAGTCCAAGGGTCCATTCAATATTTACTAAAAAGTACCTATGTGCCAAGAATTTCAGCACACAGTGGGCACAAAATATTAAAATATATGGTCCAGCTCTGGAAGTCTATTGTCTAATAAAAGAATAAAACATAAGCTATTTCAGTGCAACATAAAAACCATATAGTTAAAAATAGTATACTAGAAATACACAAAGCCACAATGCCCACTTTAGGGGGTTGAAGAGATTCTTAGAGACTGGGAAAGCACATTTTAGCTGGTTAATCCAACTAGGGATAAGAAACTGTGATCCAACAAGAGGCAAGACTGAAGGGAAGGGAGGCAGGGCTAACATGGTGTCTATGCAGGGACAAAACTCTGGCAAGATGGTACTTTTCAGATATAAAGTTCCAAAAGGCGGGAGATGGGGAGGTTGAGGCCCACATAAGGTGCGTGCAGAGTCCATGGACCAGTGACTAGATCCACAAGTAGGAGACTGGCATTCCTTTGGAGCAGTCTGTACAGTGAATGATGGCAGCCACATGGAAACAACACAAGGCCTGAAGAAACAATGTGATGGGGCAGTATCCTAGGAATCCACAGCTGCTTCTGAGTGGGGACAGGAGCACACAAAGGCGCCCAGATCTCCCTGGGTAGGCACCTAGTTGCAAAGCACAGGGGGAAACTGTTAACTTGGGCCTTTTCCCACCTCTGAGCCATATTATTATTACACGGTTTTTTACTCAAAAGCTGCTGGTTATCTTAAAATCTAAATCTGATTTCCTTTAAATAAATCATCAGTTCTCAAATGCTTAGCTTACTTAAAACTAATGAAGTCATTAGTGCTTATGACAAATGCAGACTAGTAGTCGACTGTAGTCACCAAAAGGTGTCAGTCATAATTAACAACCACTTGTAAAATCAATGCACTCATTATAGAAACAAATGACAAGTTTCTTTTAACACTTCAAAACAGGACACCACATCTAAGTAGTTCTGTGTGCTTTGTTACCTGTGAAAGACATCTGCTTTGTACCAAAATGAGTATGCTGAACTTACCAGGTTACATTATAATGCATTTTTTAATTTTCACACAGCCAGGAGTCTTTTCTTCTTTGCTGATTTTTTTCAATCTGTACTGTCGGATCTCTCTCACCAATGTATAAAAAGCATCCTCCACTCTCTGCATTGTAAAACACAACTCCTTTAAAGTCTGTTTCATTTGGAAGAGTAATTTACTGGGAGAGCCATGTGTAAGAAGTTTGAATTATGAGCTTCATAGTTGAGAATTTTTTAAAGCAGACATCAGATTGAGTAAAACTGAGGATGCGGCTTTAAAACATGAGCTAGAACCTGGTTTGTTCTTAAAAGTATTTAATTTTTTATTGGAATTAAGAGTTAAACATTTTTAGTTAGGAATCAGAGGAGACTGAAAAGCCTAGCTCTGTGTCTGTGTTTCTCAATATTTATAATAACTGAAGTTTGAGGAACTGAAGTTAGGTCTGAACTTTCCTTGGACAAAGGAAGACAAGTGACCTCCATACACCACTGATGTCACCTTCCACTCAGCAGGGAAGCAGAGAGAGAAAGGCTGACTAGAGACATGAAACTTTGCTAAAACCAAAACTCAAATCCATGTCCCAACCAAAGTGATTCCAAATATTGGAACCTCCAGTTCTATCTCCAATAGATAATTCTAGTTAATTTCTAAATCCCTAAACCCATCTGAGACTGGCACCACAGTGGATGGATAATTACAGTATTTAAATAAGTTAATTAGGAGCCATTTACCAAAACAAGAAAACTCCACAAATCATTTGAAATATGTAACATAGGAGCAATACGTTTGTATCCTTATATAAATCTCAAACAGCCTGCAGATGCTGCTGTGTGCCTTGAATTTTAATTGCATATTCTAAAGAGGGGTTCTTTTTAACTATTTTAGAATTTATTTTATGTGCATGAGCGTTTCAACCCATGTATGTTGTGCACACCTGGTCCTTCAAGGTCAGAATGACTCAGATCACCTAGAACTGGATAACAACGGCTGTGAGTCACCACATGGGTCCTGGGACCTGAACCCAGAACCTCTGCAGGAACAGTAAGTGCTCTTAACTGCTAAGCGATCTCTCTACCCTTTTAACGGGGTTTTCTGGTTTAAGGCTGTGGTATAAATCTACAAGGAGAATCATAAACAGCCTTTATGGAGAGAAAGGTTTTCAACTTTCTCAAAACAGAAAATTAGGCAAGAGCCTAAAAGGCACAAAGTGCTTATAACTATAATGCTAATTTCCTCAGAAAAATGCAACACCAAAGGAGCTTATATAATGTTCAGAAACTTCACATACATGTAGTACAAATTCAACCTCAGATGTAATATTTATGTCCACTCTTCTAAAAAAAAAGGGTAAATACTTAAGAAATTTGGCATATTTTACTATTTGCTTTTAAATGTATTTTATTTCATTTTAATAATGAATTGCTTGTATAGAGAATTAGTATATTCTTTATTTTTCTACAATTGGTAAAAACAAGTGTTTCCATTGAACCAGATGTGATAAATGTACCTAGCACCTAAGAAGCTAATATGCCAAAAAACAATTTATTTTAAATTCAATCAGGGACAGAGATCAGGCAGTCAGTATTAAGGGTAATAAGCCAACAACTAAGGCTTCATTTTTGCATGTGTAAGTCATTTGCTGCATTCAACAGTTAGGAAAAAAAATACTTCAATAATTTAGGGCACATTAAGTTTTATAAATCTCAAGAATGTATTAAGAACCAATTCAGTGAAATTCAGTAATTTACCTTTAAAATTCATAAAATTGAGTTTCAGTAAAGAAGCAGGATTTAAATAATGATTGCATATTAAAATACAAACATCTGGCTAATACCAAGTGCCACCCAGTGAAAAATACTCAATCTAATAATAAAGATAGAAAAAAATATATTATTGTGTGTGTGTCTATGTATGTGTGCAGGTGCCTTTGGAGGCTAGACAGAGGCACCAGAGCTGGAGTTACTTAGTGGCTGCTAGCCACCCAAGTGAGAGGGTAGGAACCAAAGTCATGCCCTCTGCAAGAGCAGCAGCAAGCACTCTTTTCAGCCCTGCCTGGCTGTCCTGGAACTCACTTTGCAGACCAGGACTGCCTCTTCCTCCTGAGTGCTGGGATTAAAAGTGTGTGCCACCACGGCCCACCACAGCAAGCATTCTTTACTCCTGAGCCATCTCTCTGGCACCCCAACCCAATCTTATTTTAATGGAATTAATTTAATCAACTGCTTTCTTACAGGAGAAAAAACAAACATTTTCAACTGTTAAAAATCACTAAATGTGGCATTTAAAATAAACTCCCCACTTGTATCTGCATGTTTTTAGTAGTTTTCTCATTAATTCAAGGTGAAAGTTTTACTTATTTATTCTTCAAAATATATCAGAAATGTTCATATTATATAAAAATAAGTTATTTAAGGTAAGTGATGTACAAAGCATTTAAAATGTAAAGCATGACTGATCAATTTATATTTTCATAAATAATTACTCTCTTTTAACTTGAAAGCCAATGGAAAAAAAATCTCCATATATTTAAGAGACAAACCAGGCAAAAGCTCATATTTTCTTAAAATCTTAAAGAAAGTAAATCTGTATTACTTCTTTAAAATCAAAGTCACACTGTCAATGGAGAGGTCAATGTGCTATGGAGAGAGGAGAAAGAGGGTGTGCCCTCCAACAGAAGGGAAATCTGATCCTGTCTGCTTTTCAGTTTGAGCATCCCCATCACCAACACAAGAGTAGATGATTTCTGTTTCCAGCAATGCAGAGAGAGAATGGAAGCCAATAATTAAGGAGACAACTACCCATCACCAGGGATTCAGTATTAGGATCTCAGGGGTCAAGATAATTAACAGCAAGAAATAGTTACTACAAAAAAACCCTCCCGTTTCTTAGTTTTACAAATATGAAATTTAAATTCATTTTAAAAAGTAATTTCCCACATTTTACATACTTAGTTATGCCTTGAAAATATGTATCACAGTTATGCTGACATCAAGAGAACTTAACAACAGTGCTATGTATCCAGGCCTACCACCATCAGTCTCTTAGGTCTAAATACTACATAAGGTACATGACTATAATGCAGAATACTGATTTTAATATGCTGAACATGGAAGTAATATTTAAAAATAAGGTAGTTAAAACCACTTGCTAAACTCAAGGTGCACAAGTGATTTGTCCTTGAGGGTATAACTTATTGACACTTTAAAATGTCACTTAGTGAACCCCAAGGGCGAATGAAAATATCTATGTATAAACAAGAGTATCCAAGTTTAAGCATGTAATTCCTGTGTAAACAGAGAGATCTGACAATGTTTGAGGTCAAAGCAGATGAGACTATGAAAGCAGAGCACCCCCTGGAGACCTGCTAACATAACAGTTTTCATTTGCTCTCAGTATCACATGTTTTCTTCCCTGTTGAATTATTCTGTCAAGGGAGGGACACACCTGTAGCATCAACTGTGACTACACTGGCCACACACAGCAACCCTGGCCTTCTGGGGAGGGAATGGAGAACCGACCCATTTCTCAGTACCAACCTCACATCCCTGATTATTTCTCAAGAAACCTTGTCAAACTATAACCCATCTAAGGATTCCTGAAGTACAGCAAGGGTTCAATAACTGTCCACTTCTAACTCAAAGTTCAAAACACTTATCTCATGGGGGGGGCAATTATTAGATAAGGCACCTGCGGTTTTGAATTTGTTTTGCTTTCTTAAATAGCTTTATAAGCTTTCTTTCAGAGAGGATTTCTATCAACTAATTTTATATATTTAGAAGTTAACAACAAACTAAGAAATTAATGAGTATTGGGTGACTTTACACTTTGGAAACTACCTTTTACACTACTCAGCGAGACCACCAAACGTAAAGAAGCTTGACGGGCTCTTCTGAACCCCCTGCTTGTCATCTACCTGACACCCACTCACTCTGACTTTTGGCTTATCAGTTTCACAAATTCACAGCTAATCCTCAAGGTGTTCAGTCTCAACAGCTTTTTCTGACACACTGTCCAGAACTCAGAAAAGCCTGTCAATTCCTAAGTGTCTTGATAAATATGAAGTAGCACTCGTTATAGACTAAGAATAAGGGGGCATAATAGCACACCAGCTAATTGAATAGAGCTCCTTTACCTTTTCAGATAAAGACATAAAAATAGCTAAGCTCAATGCCACATATCTGTAGTTCAAGGGACTGGGGATGGGGAGGCAGGGGAATCACTTTAGTCTATGAGTTCCAGAACAGTCTGGGCAACACAGCAAAACCCAGTCAATACATACATACATACATACATACATATACACACACACACACTATCTATCTGTCTGTCTGTCTGTCTGTCTGTCTATCTATCTATCTCCTACTTATCTTTACATACTACTGGTAAGTTAATGTGTATTTTAAAGTTAAAAAATAATGTACTGGTAAAAATATATTCTGCAACCCTTATCTTCAAAGCAATAAAATGGGGCTGGAGAGATGGCTCAGTGGTGAAGAGTACCGCCTGCTCTTCCAAAGGTCCTGAGTTCAATTCCCAGCAACTACATGGTGGTTCACAACCATCTGTAATGAGATCCGGTGCCCTCTTGAGGAAGAGACTTGGTCAGTCGTCCTTATCAACTTAGACCATGAAACCCAATAAGGTCAAGTTCAACAGAACCATCATATAGGGGCTGCCCATGCATGCTTCAGCACTGCCAGGGCATAAATTTCAAATTTCATATGCATACACATACACACCTATACATGGTTTGAAATGTGTGTGTAAACGGCCAGGCAGCCGCTCTACTAGTGCCATACAGGTGCTTCTGCTGACTTAAGAAAATGAGGGAAAAAGTAATAAGATAGAATTTTTCACTAAATATACAAATTCTGCTTTAAACTGGTAAAATATGATTTTAGGCTGAACTACTAGAACAATTTCATCAACTGTCACCTAGAGAGGCTGAGATTAGCACATTACAGCCCACAGGCCAAGTGCAGGCAGGGTCAATTGTTCTGGTATAAGCTAAAAAGGAGTTTTATATTTTCAAGACTTCTTAGGGAAAATAATGTGTAAGATACCACATTACTATCTGTACCTCTGCAAAAATGCTTGCCACACCTTCACTTAAGTCTGCAAGAATTTCTGAATGAATGTTCAGTTCCTATGACCATAAATAGATTTTTTTGGTGCTTTTGTTAAGCTCATGAACAAGAACAAGTTGCTAACAAAATACAATAAGGACATGTATACTTAATTAAAATAATAAGCAAATAAAAGATAGTAACAAAAACTCCTGAAAAAGGAGCATAAAATTTTCACAAAAACTAGATAGAAAATTTATTAAAATGTACATTGTATGTTATAAATTACTAAAATTTTAGATTAGTAATTTTAAAATTAGTAAAATCTTTAGAATCTTCCATAACTTTATAAATATTAAATTTCAAGCAATATTAATGACTTTTCAAATGTTAGTTTACATTTCTAAACAAATCAACAAGTTCACTGAAAAGTTATAGTTTAGAAACACATTATTACATAAAAGATATCAATAGAAAAAAATCAATAAAAAAGATATTAATACAAAGTCTAAGCACTGCTTAAGAAGTTCTAGTATATCTCACCACTATGCATGTTAGACAGCTCACACTATCTAAAAAGCAAATTTAAGTTAATCCACTTCTGTACCACACTTTACACTGACAAGTAAGCTGAGCATGGTGATTTGCCTGGGCTGTACAACTGTCAAAACACTAAAAACCAGACAAAAATGAACAAAGTGTGTGTGTGTGTGTGAGGGGGGGGGAGAGAAAGAGAGAGAGAGAGAGAGAGAGAGAGAGAGAACATCATTAAAGCTAAAAGGCTACTTTAAAAGGAAGTCAGGCAATGTTCTAATCAATTATGAACCATAGTACACAAAAGTGTTTCTGTCAAACACAAACAATAAATGAAATGCAGTTATTGAAGCTCTGTCTGAGTGAGGGGTGGAGAGTCCACACTGAGATAAGCAGGAGGCTCCTTTCACTGTGCTCTGTGCCCACACCAGCACTCCCAGAAAGGGCAAAGGGGTGCAGAAGCACAGGTTTCAATACTAACCCACTGGGGAAGCCTGGATTTTAACTTTAATAAGGTCAGTTATTTGTGTGCATATCCAGTATGAGAGGCTCTTCTGTGCTGCAACCCAGTCTTGGGCTTCTCCTTTTCTTGTGAGATGTCAACTACAAAGACCACTAGTAAGAAAGGTATCTTTTTGCATATGTTTAAACAATGCAAGTAGGAAAATGTTAATGGTAAAGTCTATATAGTAGGTTTTCAATAAAATTCTTAATTTCATATTTGTGTTCTTTCAAAAGAAGTGTTTCTACATAGAAGAAAGTCATAGATATTATAATTATGTTTTCTGGGCTGCTTCTGAGGAAAATCCATGAGACTGGTCAGAGACCAGGAAATAGAACACAGATTCAAGCCTCTTCTGGTCATTAGAAGATGGGATGAACATGAATGAAATGGTTCCTCTACTCTATAAGCCAAGTGAGGCATATCAAGTCTCTGTAAACTCTCAGCCAACTGTGCACAAACTGGTACCCAGGAGATATCCATGTGACATTCAAACTACAGAAATTCACTTTTTAATCCAAATAAAGACTTCAAACTGAATTCACTTTTTTTTTTCAACATGCACCCTATTTGAAAAGATCAGAATAGGGATATATGACCTCCTAGGGAAATTTTCTTTGTATTTATCCATCCATCTTCATGTTTGAAATTTGTTTAAATTTCTACATCCCTCACAAAATTCAGTAAACATTTCTGTGATGACCCTTGTACACTTAAGCGTGATGAAATGAGGTGCTCCTCAATTTTTAAAAATTTCATCACAGAACTTAAACTTTACAAAAGCATTTTATGGGAGTTCCCATAAATCTCTGAGAAATTCATGCACTACAAAACGACTCATCATTCAGTGCACACGACGGTTCCCCGTCTTTATGAACTCATTTCTAGGACGCGTTTTCTTTTATGCTAAACTATCACTGCAAACACAAATGATGTAATTATCAACTGAAATTTAAAGTTAGTTTTAAAATGAAGATGATTTTGAAACAAAATTCAGGTTCTATCTGACATATACTTTTGTCAGAACAATGTAGTTGATAATTTAAGATTATCTATTCACTTTCTAAATATTCCCTTATTATAATCACAACTTTCTCCCTAAAGAATTAGACCCTCAAAACTTTCTGCCTAAATATAATTCAGATACAATAAAATTTAATCTAGAAATATAAATTCTTTTTTTGTTTGTTTGTTTTCTGTTTTAGTTTTTTGGTTTTTCAAGACAGAGTTTCTCTGTATAGCCCTGGCTGTCCTGGAACTCATTCTGTATACTAGGCTGGCCTTAAACTCACCGAGATCCACCTGCCTCTGCCTCCCGAGTGTTGGGCTTAAAGTTGTGTGCCACCATGCCCAGCTGAAACGTGAATTCTTAAAACTGCTTCTAAAATAGGGAACTCAAAATTTATCCACTGTTCTTTGTCTGTATCATTTAAGTAGGAAAATTTTTCCACATTCTTGAATCCTAAATGTAAAATGTAAGTGGAAATTTCAATATGAAAAGAAAACAAAACACCAGGCAGTGGAACACACCCATAATCCCAGTACTCTGAAAACAGATTTAGGAGACTGAGAGTTTAAGGCCAGGCTGGAGGATGTAGAACGCAGATCCTGTTTCAATCCCCACCATCACAAAAGGGAAAAAAAAAAAAAGTAAAAGAGACAGAGAGAGAGAAAGAGACAGACAGAGAATCAATCCAAAGTAATATCATGGTCCCTAGATAAAAATACTGTCCACTCAAGAGAAGACAAATAAACGTTATTTATACTCTGGCGAATCACACTGAGTGGCTGGCACTCACACCCCAGTCCCTTACACTCACTCCAGCTTTACTTACCTGTCTTGTCTTTGCTGAGGTTTCGATGAATGGGATCCCATAACTTCTTGCTAAGTCATGAGCCTGTTTTGTGTCTACTGTTCTAGAAGGCAAATCACATTTATTCCCTACTAGGACCATAGGCACATCTTCAGAGTCTTTTACTCTTTTAATTTGTTCTCTGGAGAAAAAACAAATTTGAAACAGAAGCATGAGCAACACAAAATATTTCGAACCTTGCCCTCAACTTCTGTCCTACAGAACTTGACTGCATATCTTCATATAAATCCTAGTTTCTATACCATATTTTCCTGTCTTATTTTTTCCTCTAAGACAAAAATCTTACGTACCTATTCAAAACTCAAATACTGATACAGTCTCAACTACAACAGAAAGGACTCATTTGCATGAGTATATACAATAAGAAACATACTGGAAAGTTCCAAATCGAAAGTACCATGTTTAAAATTGTCTTAGAAACATGACACATAAATGGGTATTGTACAACTGAAAATCTTTTCATCTACTGGTATGGTGGCACCTGTCCTTTAATCGGCAGGATGAACTCTGCTGATTCCAGGCCAGTCTGATCTTTAAAGTAAGTTCAAGGCCAGCTGAAGTTGTATTGAGAATAAGTTCATCCTTGTTTTTACAAAAACATGAATTACCAGCATTAACATAACGCGCACATTTCAGAAGACCTTTCCCTGACATCTGTGGGCAAATATTCTGAGACCCCTGAACGAATGCTTCAAACTGAGAATAGTACCAAACCCTTCATATATTATTTCTCCCATATATACATATCAATAATATAGTTTAATTGACAATTTAGGTATAGTAAGAGACTAATATAAAATAAAAATTGTAACAACATGTAATAGAAGCTATATTATTTCTAGAAATTTCCATTTAGTATTTTTCAGACGTAGGTGAACATGAGCAAAATGTCAAAGAATTAAACTATGGGTAAAGGAGACTACTGTACTACTCAAGAGAAAGATAATCACTGGAAAGACTGATTTTAATTTTAATCATATGTATGTGTGTATCTGTATATAGGTATGTGCATGTGACCAGTGCACTGGATTCCCTGCAGCTGCAGTGGTTAGGAGATGACTGGCATGGATACTGGGAATTAATTTGGGTCCTCAAGAAAGGCAACATATGCCCATGACTGCTGAGCCATGTCTCCAGCCATGAAGACTGACTTTTTTACAAAGAGCAACACTAAAGAAACTACAATGTGTATTCTGTTAAGACTCCTTTTCATGTGTTGCTGTCAATATAACATGTAAATAAATCCTAAATATAGAATAAAATTATAAATTTTCCTTCACAATTTTCCATGAATGTCTAAAATGCTGCTTGGCAGTGGAGTGGGTTCATATCCCCAGGTGTTCTATCAACGAGGTTCACCTCTGCACCACCATAGAGAAGCTCTTTCCTCTGTCATTCCTTCCTTATCACCAGGAAACTACTCTTAACTAAGATGCTAACTTCTTAACTCAGCTAGCACATGGTTATGTGGCACAGCTTAATAAGCAATGTAATAAATACTGTAAACCCCCAGGGAAAGAATGTAAAGTACATTTCATGTAATGATTAAGTAGTCTTACATTTGTAAGACTCATAAAAACCACTAATAACTCTAATTCTTCAACCTCTTATGCCATCTAAATGTATTTAAAAAAACACATAAGGCCACTGCTTAGTCACCCTATGAAATTCTGTAATAAAATACCATTTTTTAAAGATCATTTGAGTGGTACCCTCTCAAAAGACTATCCGTGCTTCTGTTTCTGGTTGGTATTTGATGTCTCTTTAACATTAACAGTTCTATTTCTCTAGCGTGGGGAAACAAGCATATAAAAGACCCTGGTATCAGAAAGGCTTGTTCTCAGTCAGCACTATCACTATCTGCACAAACTGGGACAAATTATGCAACGGCTGCAACCCCAAAGAGCTGCATTTGTGCTGGGTGGTGGTGGCGCACACCTTTAGTTCAGCATTCGGGAGGCAGAAACAGGTGAGTCTCTGTGACTTTGAGGCCAACCTGGCCTTCAGAGCAAGTTCCAGGACAGGCTCCAAAAAGCTACAGAGAAACCCTATCTCCAAAAAAACCTAAAAAAATAAAAAAAGCTCCATTTATAAAACTAGAATTCTGCATACTTGGCACAAATGTTTTCAAATTTAAAGATTATACAGGTATAACAATTAGCAAAGAATCAATAAATGAAGCTATCATTACTTCTCAAAGTCAACTTCCATATTCAACTTAAACCCACCTATAATGGTGAATATCTTCAAATGATTTAGTATTATTTATGGCAAATACACAAAGAAAGCCCTCCCCAGTCCTCATGTACTGGTCCCTCATTGCACTGTACTCCTCTTGACCTGCTGTGTCGAGAATATCCAAGAGACAGGTTTCTCCATCAATTACTACTTGTTTCCTGTAGGAATCCTGAGAAGGTAGAAACACAGTCTGGGTTATTACAGTGCATCTTTTAAAAGGTGGACATACCCAACTCAGCAACAGATTTCTTCATTCAAAATGGGCAAAGCACTTCAGATAATCTCCAAAGCAGACAAGTAACCAATAAGTCCTTGAAATCATTAAGAGAAACACAAAACAAAACCATGAAACGCCATTTAGCACCTATTAAGAAGGCTAGTGGCAAGCAGATATCTGTGAGTCCAAAGTCAGCATGGTCTACACAGTAAGTTCCAGGCAAGCGAAGTCTACATAATGATACCCCCACACACCCAAAGAAACTAAAATTAACTCAAGAGTCTCCAAAGATGATGTGACAAAGACCCACATAGCCTTTTCAGAAAAATCTGCCAATTTTACCCTGTAAGCCAGTAAAATAACTTCACAAACTTGAAGTATCCTAAAAACAAATTATTACTTAAAAATAAATTATATCATCAAAGTATACAATAACAAAGTCCAGCTAATTTAAAATAGATTCTACATGAAAACTAGTTTATGATGGAGCAAAGAAAAGCACCCATATTTCACATGTTAAATGAGTGTTATTTCCTGCCTTCGAAGAAGGTTCACCAGATAGTTAGTCACTAATATCCTCAGTAAGTCAGGACAAAATAAAGTCACTTAAACTCACTCAGCACAGTATCAGAATAAGGAAAAGTTATTCCACGTGGTCCCTTTAACCCTAGCTAAAGAGTCATATTTTCCATCTGTGAGGTAACATAAAACTTCAAAATAAAATGCACTCTGCTGGCAAGAAGGAGCTGCAGGTGGAATTAAACCATTTCTGATGATAAAATGAGGCACATTCCTTTTGGAAAAGCAATTCTCTATCTATCTATCTATCTATCTATCTATCTATCTATCTATCTATCATCTACCTACCTATCATCTACCTACCTACCTACTTATCTTATCATCTACCTACCTACCTACCTACCTACCTATCATCTATCTGTCTGTCTGTCTGTCTACCAAGTATACATACATTAGCAGGCACATATATGTGCTTTGCCATCTACATGTTGATGTTCATAGCCTTTGAAACAATGCCATGTATGATGATTTTAAGGAAATAACAGTTTATTTAAAATGACAGTTATCCACTAACAAGGCATCCTAAAAGATCTTACAGAAAATGTACACAGTCAGTAATAACTCACAGTATCACAGCATTTACCTAGTCTCAAAGTGAGCCCCACATCCAGGCACCACCACCACCCTTTAGTTGTTCCCTAGTACACGTGCAGATACAGATTCTGACTCCCTTAGTCCAGGGCAGCTGTCTTGTCTGTGGCAGCCACTGGTTCCTAGCAGGTATCCTTCCTGTATCGCAGATCTGTTTTCTTCAAGGAAGCAGAGAACTGTTCCTATGTAGATCATGTCATTTGCTCAGACTCCCCATACTGTTCCTTTTCTATCTTAGAAACAAACCTGACAGGCTCTCCTCCAACATTCCCAATATCTCCTTTGTGCCATGTATCTAACGGTGTACTTAAAGTTCATGCCCCACCCCCACCAGGTTTTGAACTGGAAATTAGCAGGACTACATTTATTTCGCTCAGCATGACACATCAATGCTAAGTCTTAAACATTGTAGAATCAATAAATATCTGTTGAATGGATGCATCTACTTAATATAGATACAAAAAAGATAAATGGAATTTTAATTACAATTATGTTAACATAAACACAAAACAATTTTTTTAAATTGTACCCAGCCCCTCAAATATTCTGTGCTAAAGATACTGCCTAGCTTCACAAAAACTACTGCTTCGAACAAACTAATTTGCATGAAAAGATTTTCAACAGTTGTTTTAAATTTTTTTCAGTTTTTAATATGTCTTCTAAAACCAAGTATAAGTTTAAAATAAATTTTTAAGTTATAAATTTTAATAAAATAAGAGTCATTTTAATTACAAAATACTAATAAATTTAGTACATGGTATTTTCATTTAATCATATATTGTAGATGGTTATATAAAAACACAATAATAATATGCTCTATTTTAGAACATTTATGATATGGAAAAGACTAAGGATAGCTGAGTTATCACACTGCAAGTTTAATGCTAGCCTGGGCTACTTGGGAAAACTCAGGAACCCCACCCCCCAAAAAAAGTTGGTGTACAAAGAATATGTATTACATCACTTTCCCAAACAGGAATCACCCATTCATCACCACTAACAAAATTTTTGTATTGTTATTAAAAAAATACATTTTGATAAGCTAAAAATCTTGTGTGATTTTATCATGCATTTCTTTGAGGAATAATGTTAATATTTGGATCTTCCTTCTGCCACGCCTTGGTTCCTTTGCATCTTTTTTTAAGTTGACTTTTTTTTTGAGACAGAGTTTCTCTGCGTAGTCTTGTGTTGTGGGAGAATTGTCTCTATTCTGTCAATCATATTTTAATAAAACGCTGATTGGCCAGGCAGGCAGTATAGGCGGGAAAGCCAGACAGGAAGTAGGGGTGGAGCAAAGAGACTGGAAGTATTCTGGAAGCAGAAGCTCCCTCTGCCACTCCTGCGCAGACCACCGAAGAGGCAACATGTAAGCTGTCACACTGAGAAAGGTACTGAGCCCATGTGGCTAATGTAGATAAGGATAATGGGGTAACATAAATTATAAGAACTAATAAGAAGCCTGACATAATGGGCTAATCAGTTTATAATCTTATGGAGTCCTGTGTGTGATTTTCTCTTTGGGATTTGCGGGCTTTGGGGTACCGGGCGGGACAGAAACCCCAACAAGCCGGCCCCCTCATATTACAGTCTTGGTTGTCCTGAAACTGTGTAGACCAGGCTGGCCTCCAACTCACAGATATCTGTCTGTCTGCCTCTGCCTCTGCCTCCTGAGTGCTGGGATTAAAGGTGTGTACCACTACCCATCTGCCTTTAATGTTTGAAATGATAAATCACTCAAGACAAAGCAACCTCAATGACCAGAACAATTTGTGGTTTTCTAGTTAATACAATTATATTCAGCACGCTCATTTTTTAGAATGATCAAATTGGGAAAACAGGCAAAGGTAAACAGAAAACTTAAGCTAATGAAACTTTCACTGAAAGGGCTCCTATGACTCCTAACAGTAATGACAGCAGCCACTATGTACTGAGACATTGCAAGTACTATCTGTGCCTTTCTTTCTTTACGAGTAGACCTGCAGAATGGCCAGATCGTGTGTGGCTTGGGGATTTACTTGTGTAGTGGTCTGCTGTTTTCTTATCATGTATTACAAGTACTTTTCACTGCTTAGCAACAACTATCAGGAAAAACTATGAAATTTACTTTCTCTGATAATAGTCACACACTTTACATTATTTCTCAAGACTTGAATCCATTAAAGAATGGTGTGTTCCATACCACTGTTTATCAAGGTTGCATGGTCAGTTCTCAAACACAGTTAGAAATCGGCACAGCAACGTGGTATGACTAGTAACAGAACTAGGCAAGGCTGGAGTTGAGTGGCACATGTCTGTAATTCCAGAACTCACTGGGAGGCTGAGGCATGAGGATCAGGAACTAGAGGTCAGAGTCTATTGGGTTCAGTTCAAGGCTAGCCAGACTAGGCTACATGAGACTCTTAAAAAGAAAAATAAATAAATAAATAAAAGAATTGTAGGCAGTGGGATGTGTGAGATGCGGAGCATGTAAATAGCCTTATAAACTCATTCCTACCTACTCTGCTGTACTGCCATGAACAGTCACTGTGATCCCAAAGGCCACATTTTCTGCCAGGCATTACAGCTCCTTAATTTAAACCCAGAAATGTTCTAACATCTAAAATATTGGATGCTCAAACAGTAAAATATGCACAAACATTCTAAAAATCCTAGAAACTGCAATCTGAAGCTGTTGTGGAATAACCTTTTTGTACCCTGTAAAGATGTCTTTGGTCTAATAAAGAGCTGACTGGCCAATAGCTAGACAGGAAGAGGTTAGGTGGGACTACTAGGGAGAATGAAGAGATGAATCTAAGCATGGGAGAGACGCCAGAGGACATGGAGAGGAAACGGGGTGCAAGACGGAAGAGAAGAAGTCACGAGGCAAAACATAGATTAATAGAAATTGGTTCATTTAAGTTATAAGAGCTAATGGGACAAGCCTAAGCTATAGGCTGAGCATTCATAATTAATAAGTCTCCATATTGTTTTTTGTGAGCTGGTGGCCCAAATAAAATTCAATGTCATGAAACACTTTTGGTTCCAAGCATTTCATGTTAAGATATTCAATTTATATGCGGTTTGAAAACACACACACACGTTCTGTTTTATCTTCTTTCTCTTCTTTGTCTTTTCTGTTTTTCTTTCATGAAACAGGTAGTGTTGGAAGCTGCTATATAGAACACACTGTTCTAGAACTCTGACAGGTGGTCTACCTCTGCCTCCAAGTGTTGGGATTAAAGGCATGTACTACTATGCCTGCCTGGGTATATAGTCCAGAATGATCTCAAAATAAAAACCCACCTGCCTCAGTCCCCAATTAATAGAACTACAGGTGTGTACCAGCACAACCAGCTCAGCCTGTAAATGGAGGAAGTTGATCTGAGGAAAAGAAATCAATGTAAGCAATTAAGGAAATGAAAATGTTACCACTAAACAGGACAAAGTGCAGTGTTACCGTACAAGAAATGAAGTTTGCCTACATGACCTATATGACTCAAGAAAGATCGGGGGAGGAGGTCACTGTAGACAGGAATAGAGAAAATGTAGAAACACAAAACACACTATGCCGAGTACCACAGTGGGAGAATAAATAGCAGGGAGTAAAGCAGGGCACGAAAGCAAAGCGGGTTTACGGAGTCCTGCACACAGATTGCACTTTATTCTGTCCAGTTATCACTGAAATGCTTCTAGGTACGGGACACTTAGATTCTCCATCCCAACTGCAAGCACTGTAACAAACTGTGAAGAGTGTTTGCTTTGTATTTTTCTTCCAGTTGCTGCTTCAGCTCAGCACGCACTCA